CACAAAGAATTATTTTCCAAATAATACAAAGTGTTCCAATATGCAGAGAACCCAAACCCAAACAGTAACTAAACTTAACTTAACTTCTTGATCAATCAGTTAAACAGATCTACAGTATTACCTGATTGCCCCGTTCCATGCAGCTGTCATCTTTTTTTGACAGAGATGTGCCTTCATCAAGCATAGAAGAATTTCGCACTTTCACATCCACCCAGTCATCTTCGTTGGTACTGCCTCCACTCTCAGATCTTAAATGCCCATCACAAGAACTACTATTGGGGCTACAAGAACTTGAAGACAATGATCCTACACCATTAGTCTCTTGCAGTAGCTCTTCACTTTTAGCAGCAACCCCACAACGAACTGTACATAGGTACTCATTTTCACCCTTCTCATCAGCAGAATAGTATATTTCATAGACTCTAGCAGTGCTACGAACATATACCTGCTTGATTTCATGTTGCTGGGTAAAAGAAACTGAAAAGGGAAATAAAAGCATAAGTTTAATGCAAAAGAGAAAAGGCGAAAGAGATGACAAATAAAACAAAAGAAAAAGATCAATTGGTAAGATCTTTCCACTGTTATAACTTAAAAATATGAAAAATCTTCAAAAAATAAATAGTTTTGCACTCTTTAGAAACACCAGCAAAGTCATAGTAGACTAGTAATGTTTCATGCTCAAATGTGATTGCTTCTCTCATTGTATCACCCTCCTTTCTCTCAGCACCATTCAGGTATTGACTGCATCATATTCTTGTTGAAGGTAACAACTCAGCCCATAATTCTGTAAGATCAACACAATTCTGTCTCACAGGCCCACTATATGTAAACCATTCACCAGGTTGAACCAAGGAATTGAATTAAAGACCTGTAGTGTACTTTTACAAGGGACAGGAGGGCAGCCCGCAGCCATAAAAGAATGAAGACATTGGAAAAAACAACAGCTTACACGCCTTACAGGAAACCAAATCCCTCATACACGGTAGGTTGGGGAGTGGGAAACTCAGCAAGAGTCTTGGTCATCCTTTGTCATCTTTTTCTTTATGTTTCTAGATAAATTAGACCTTTTACTATTCCTAACCATATACGAGTACTCGCCAGCAAATTAACTCCAACATTCGTAGAAATTACATAACTTCATACTTCATCCTACCCCAGAAACAAAATATTCCAGCACTAAAGGCGATGTTTATGGTTCTTTGAAGTTGACTAACAATTAACCTATTCATACCCATCTAGAGTATAAGCTAGCAAATTAAATCCTACATTCGAAGAGTTTACATAAGTTCATATTTCATCCTATCCATAAAAACAAAAAATTCGAACACTAAAGGTGCTGCTAATGGTTCTTTGATGTTTACTAACCTCAATAAAGCAAATTGAATTCCAATCTTCTAAATTAAATATCAACGGAAAATACAAAAAAGTCGCAAATATAATTTAAAATTTTATGATTCTAAAATTGATCGCCATCTCAACGCTGAATGTTGAAATCAATACAACAACTTGAAAACTACTATCAAAAGAAGCAAAATTACACAGTAATTACAGAAATACAAACCAATTCGGAATTGAAAAATATATATATAATGAGCAATTAAATCAGAAAATCATGTGAATAACATAATCAATTCGGAAAAAACCTTACTTGTGATCTCGCAGGGGCCAGAATCCGGTGAAGGACGGCGCAGAATAAGAGGGGGTTTAAGCGCAGGATCAGAATCGGAAATAGAATCAACGGCAGAAATGGAGGACTCGGAAGTGATAGAATCTTCGAGAGAACCATGAATGATCGGCCATGATGAAGTAAAATTAGTAGCAGAAATGTCTAGGGTTTCGGTTTCCATTGATTCTGGAATCGATGTTCTTCCTAATCTTCAAGCTTTGAGCAGTACAACACGCAGAAGAAAGAGGAATGAGGATGAAAGATGTCTGCAATTTTGGAGAAAGGATGGTGAATTGGTGATGAGCACAATTCAACTGAAATCACTGTTTCTAATTGGCTACATTTTCCCGAAAATTTGCCAAAGCGAGTCTATAAGGGAAACAATTTCTCAAAGTAGACGCGTGACAAAATTATTTACCAAATTAAACTTTCAGGGTACCCTAGACATTTTTTTTTAAAATTTCAATCAAGGCAAAAACGCCATCCAAGGTGGCTGAATTTTTTTAAGAAAATTTACCCAAGGTAAAAACGCCACCATGGTTCGTGTTTTCCTGATTGATTTTTTTTAAAAAATTTACCCAAAGTAAAAACACCACCATGGTTGACGTTTCACTCTTGCCCATAAAGCGGCAGCCTGGTTGGCGTTTTTATCTGCAACACAGCAACATCAGCTACAACAACAGCCAAAGCAGCAACAACAACAGCAGCAACAACAACCACATCAACAACAACAGCAGGTACAATAACAACAACAGCAACAACCCCAGCCACAGCAGCAGCAGCAAAACAACAAAAACAACTACTACTACTACATTTACAACAACAACAACCACAGCCACAACAACAGCAACAACAACAGCAGCAGCTACAACAACAACAACAGCTACAACAACAACAACAGCTACAACAACAACATCAACAACCAAAACAACAGCAGCAACTGCGAAAACCACAACAATAGCAAGAGCAACAACCACAACAACAACTACAACCATAACAATAGCAACCACAACAACATCAGCAACATTAACAACACCAGCAACAACAACAACATCAACAACTAGTACAATGAAAAGAATGAATGCGTATGGTGAAGTTGATAATGTACAGAAAATCAAAAAAAGGTGAGTAAAATTGATAATATTTGTTTGGATACAATGTACTAGAGAATTTGATTGCAACAAACTAACAAAAGAAATTCTAAGATCCTGATTCATCTATTCTATGTAATTGTTGTCTATCAAATCGCCCTCTGTATGTCCTCCATGTCGTCTCACAAGAATAGGCCAGAACTGTGGGGCATAAGTATTCGCATATGCCTCTGATCGTAGGAAATTGTCCACCCATGGTTCCCAGAAACTGAATACTTAAGACACACGGTCAGAACATGAGAACATGGTAGGTGAAATATCATCGGCTTGTTGCATATACATGTTCTCAAATTGAAGTTAACGGTATGCTTATGACCCCCTTTTCTGCCTATCCTCTCTCCCCGGTGTGTATGTACTTGGTATATACCAAGCTGATGGCTATAAACATCCACTGTATGGTATTTTGCCTTTCCGTTATTCTTCTCCAAAATGGCAGTGACCTTAGGTGAGTATGCATAGTCGTCGGCACGCCTAGCAAGTGAACTATCCCTTTTTGTGTTAAAGTACTTGTTAACTCTTTGGAAGTTAACTCGACAAGGGACATGATCGGCAGAAAACGAGCTCCCTTCAACACATTGTTAATGTTTCTGAGAAATTTGTAGTACATATACCATACCTACGACCAGCGTCATGAAACACGGACCACATGTGAAACGGTACATCCATAATGTACTCTAGGGACTTGACACAAGATTCGCCGATAGAACGCATATCTTCCTGCAGCACTTTCTTACTGTCGAAAATCATGCCCTTCTCAAATTCTTCCCCGACAACAAACGAAGTCTGGCTCCCCGAATCAGCCCAATACATGTCCACCTCATAATTCTCGTTTTTGAGTGAACCAAGGCAATGGAGTTCTAGCAACAACATCATGAACAGACAACTCGTTGTTTATAACATCTTCCTCATCTTCGCCTTCACCCTCCTCGTTTGTATCATCATACATATCAAGAACAGACAATTCGTTGTTTACAACAGGTTCAACATTCACCAAAGTTTGAAACGGTGTTGCTTGAACATGTTCTTGCGTAGGAAAGTAACTTTGCAACTACATCGGTGATGAAATGTCATCGTTTGAGGTAGATGGACCAAGTTGCTACAACATTGACACCGACGCCCCTTCATGTACAGGTGCAGTAAAATGTGAACTGAATGGAATGTCAAATTGATCGTCGTGTAACATTCTACTGAAATTTGTAATATCACCAATACTACTTCTTTTGGTAAATATCTTGGTATTATTATCTCTCACAAACGTTTGAGTCTTAGAGATTATTTCCCTTTATTGGATAAGACTTGCTCTAAAATTAGGAATTGGCAAGCTAAACTTTTAAACGTGGCCAGAAGATGCACTCTTATAAAATCTGTTTTAAACTCATATCCGGTTTATGCTATGCAAACTAATATTCTTCCTTGTAGTGTTCTCAAAGATCTCCAGAAAAATTGCAAACGTTTTTTTTTGGAATCGTGTCAATCATTTAGATATATCCCAAGAACTAATTGGAACGTGATTTGTGATCCCATGGCCAAAGGTGGTCTAGGCATAAGGGACCTTAAGAGATGGAATCTATCCTTTATGGCTAAACTAGGTTGGAAAATCTTAACTCAACCTCATAAGCTATGGGTTCAAATTCTTACTAAAAAATATCTAAAATATTCAAACTTTTTGGATTATAATGTTAAAGCTTCTGACTTCATTATTTGGAAAGATATTCTATCTGGAAGACCTTTTCTAAAAAAAGGAATTATTATTAATATTGGAAATGGGGAGGACACTTCTCTATGGTATCATCATTGGATAGGAGAGTGTCCTATATACCTCATTCCAAATATTAAGATTCCCAACTCGAAAGGACATTGGCGTGTTTCTAATATCATAAGAAATAAAAATTGGTATTTAGATGATGTTTCTCATATTATTCCTCCTTCCCTTTGTTCTTTAATTCTAGCCTACCCAATTCCTTCTCTTGTTGATGTTTCTGATAGACTTAAATGGACTCTAGACAAATCAGGGGGTTTTACTATTAAGTCTGTTTACAACTCCAGTAATCTTTCCAACAATCTCAATTCCACTTTCTTATCTAACTTTTCTTGGAAGAATTTGTAGAAGATTAAAGCCCCTTTTAAGTATAAAGTGCTAGTTTGGAACCTGGTTAAGGATATTCTCCCGGTTGGAACTACTCTTCAAAAGAAAATTCCTTTTTTTGATCCTGTTTGCATGAGATGTGAAGCTCTCCATGAAAATACTATTCATTTATTTAGGGATTGCCCTAATACTTCTGCCATTTGGTCTTTGGTTTTCCAAAATATTGCTCCTGCTGATTTCGATTACAACTCTTTTTTTAACTCTACTCTTACGGATTGGCTTTTTTAATCTTAACAATAGTTACTCTTGGAGAATTGTATTTGTTAGCATTTGGCATTTATGGAAAACCAAAAACATGGCTATCTTTGAAAAAAAAAATGATTTTTATAAACTCAACCTTTAATAAATTTTGGGTGGATTACCATTACACTCTTAATCTAAAACAGTGCCATCCTCTTCAGATTGTGTTTCCAGAATGTGGGCTCCTCCTCATAAAGGGTATTTCAAGTTAAACACTGATGGTTCCTGGATGGGCATTGATAATGCTGGTGGGGGAGGTGTTCTAAGATGTGAAAAAGGCCTATGGAAATTGGGTTATGCTGCCAAATACAATGCTATCTCTCCTGCTGCTGATGAACTCTTAGCAATTAAAGATGGTTTACTGGCTGCTTGGGCAAGAGACAATAAGTTGTTAGAACTGGAGACTGATGCGGCTGACTTAAAAAGAATGTTAGAAGACCCAGATTCCTTCAAGGACCATGATCTCGGGAACATTATAAGGGATGTGGCTTCTATTCTGAGTAGAAACTGGAAGGTCTCTATTTTTCATGTAAACAGATCTCTTAACCGTGTTGCAGACAAGTTGGCTACCATGGGCAGAACTAAAGCAAACCCAGGACAACCAGCTCTGTACCTTTACCCTCCATCTGAGCTCTTTGATGCATATGCTTCTGATATCCCTGAGATGGTGGTCATATAGTACTGATCATGCTCTAGCTTTTGAACTCTACGCTTATGCTGAACATCCTGTTTTTGTGTTTGCAATCTTTTGTATGCTGGCGTTTGGCTTTCGTTTTATCTTTTGTGGTTATTCTAGTTTACTACTTTAGATTTCTATGGTGGATAACCTTAAAACTCTTCATCATGTATTTTGCTAATATGGTGTTTGCCATATTTATGTAATATATGCATCTCCCTTTTGTGTTAAAATAAAGTAACATTCTACTGAAAGATCCCATTCCATATTCAGATGATGGAATGTTGTATGGGGGCATTTGTAACGAGCTTGCATTGTACGAGGGAAGAATGTAGGTTGTTACTCTGTCAAGCGAATAGTCTGTTGAGTACATATAGGCACTTTTTCCACATACAAATCAGTGGGAAGAGACCTCATTGCAACGACACCCCTCAAAACCTCCAAATGGTCGTCATTCAAAACAGGTAAGATTTGAATCCCACTGACACTTTCAAACCTCATTTTAATGTTCAGTTCAACACTCGTTGGGTTTGAACCAATTATAGTATAAACCTTCTCCAACAAATCATTGTAAGTCATACAAGGTTTAAATGCCAACGGTTCCATTTTTCCTCCTCTATACTCGACGTTCGATCCGACACAATTTCACCTCCCAAACGGCATAACAAAACAATCAATTGTGAAGCCATGTTCTACATAAAATCGGAACACATATTATATGACACATATAAAGAACACAACTAAAACCACAATGATTCTATTAAATCCTCAAGCTAAGCGTATGTACAACGTAGTGTTCAACACTATACTTATTTACCTACTTCATCAACAATGTAGTATACACTTACATGTACCTAATTCAACAAATTTTGTGTGCAACAATGCAAAGATAAAAACTGTCATAAAATTAGTGTACTCGGTTTTTGTCATTACAGTCATAGTACATGAATAAAAAACACAACAAATTGTAAAGCAACATCAAATCAAATAGACTAATACATGAATAGAAACCACAAAAAAATGTAAATTACAACAATATTGTACATACATTGTGAATTTCAAAAGTAAATTCCCAAAAAATATCATAAAAAAAGTAAAATAGTTAAACTAAATACATACCTCAATTACGATCAAATTTCTGCATAAAAGTGTTAAACAACGAAGGAGGAATAATTTTTAGTGAGTATGATGAAGATCTAAGCAAGGGGAAGTATTGAATTTGTTGCAAATATGGAGGATTGGCCAAAAATGTCGCGGTTAGGGTTTGCGAAATTGGGGGTTTTGGAGTTTTGAAGAACAACTGAAAAATGGAGGTTTTGTGGGAATTTTTTACCCGATACAAAAACGCCAACTGTGATGGCGTTTTAAGTAAAATGGTAAAATGCCAACCATGGTGGCATTTTTACCTTGGGTAAATTTTTTTTAAAAAAAATTCAATCAGGGTAAAAACGCCAAATTAAAAAAAAAAAATGCCCAGGGTAAAAACGCCAGCCTGGTTGGCGTTTTACCTGGAAGCTTAGTTTGGTAAATAGTTTTGCCACGCGTCTACTTTGGAAAATTGTTTCCCTTAGAGACTCACTTTGGGAAATTTCCCAGTTGAGTATTATTTTAATTTAAAACAAAAGGTCAAGGTTTTATTTTAACGGAGATAAGTAGTTCCAAATTAATTGACACATATGACCGCAAATACCAGATAAAAAAACCGTGAGGATTGAGGTACGGTCAAGTTCCTTCTCATTACCTAAAAAAAAATTGACACATACAAAGTACGGAGTATTGTTTTTAAAAAATGTCTCTTTGAGTTACGTAGTACACCATCATTGTATGTTGTTACTTTGTACATTTTACATACGAGCAAATTATTTGACTTGCTCTTCAAACATGAACTATATAAATTCAATATATTCAATATTTAGTACTCCACTCCCTAGTACAAGATTTTTTTCGTGTTTTTAAAGTAACCTCAACATTCATGTCACATAATGTGACTAAATTTTACGTTGGCCATCACAGACCTACCAGGCTACCACAGCTTTCCTCCTTCATCTAAGCTTAAGACCGGCAATGAATGCCACAAAGTGACATTCAAAGACTGAGTTATTTTTTACCTCAACATGTATGAAGTTATTATAATTATACAAGCTCGCAAAAATATTACTCCGCAAAATTTATTAATTTAATAAGATAAATTAGAGTTAGACTTAAAACACTATCTTCTAGATGTGTCAATTTTATCAATTCGAAGTTTTGAACACTAATTGACAAATACTCATTAAACCTCGACTCAAGCTTACTCGACTCAACTCAAGTCATTAGAAAAGTGTGCTTGTTTTCATTGTTATTATGACAAGCAAGTCTTTTTTATCCAACAAAAAGAAAAGGGGAACATGAACTAATTGAATTGAAACAAACTGTTTGGAGCCAAAAAGTAAAATCTGAAATGAACTGTACTACAAAGTTGTGATTAACATTTCATATGGCATCTCAGTATTTTATGATCGCTAACATATCTGACTTTGCTTAAGAAAATTCAAGATTTAGATAATTAACATACCTAAACTTATTGATTAAACATCTAGGAAATAAGTGGAAAACATCATGTAAAGTCCACAAAAACCACAACCAACCAAGACTAAAGACTTATAATTGAATGTGATGAGAGCAATTAGCTGCTTTAAAGAGACTTTGCCCTCTTCAAGATCAAACCCTACAAGAAAATCCATCTGAGCCAAATTCCCAAATATGGCCACTTCACTTGCTGGTATCATTGCAAAACACACCATATCTTCCTGCACTCTAACAAAGGTATTTGATGGTTTGAGTTCGAGTTCAGCCCCAGCGAAACGCACCTTAACTACCGGAACATCCATATCCTCATCACTCTTGTAACACAGTGACATTACTCCTTCTGGATCTTCAACAGATTCGGCTTTAATGTTTTTCCTCAACTCGGCTTCTATATCCTGATAGAATTCTCAGGCAACAGTGTTAATGTTGTTCCTGAATCAATTATAATATTGCCTTCCTCAGTATACTTACTATTTTTTGTCATGGAAGAGACTGATGTTTTATACTCAAATTAACATTCCCAACCTGCTATGCTTTCTAAAGTCAGATAATAGAATGTGGATGGATCTTTTGTTACTAGAGGTGTCGAAACCACCCCAGAACAGAGACTAAGGCCTCTGGTCCGAAAGCTGATCTTACCAACTAAGTCAGTTTTAAAGAAGGGTAACTAAGCAATACGAGAACTTCCCACCAATAGTAGGTTTAATTTTGGGTCACCAGAGAAAATGCACCTCCCCCAAGCCCAATTATGCCTGACCCTAGCTCGTTGAAAGTACCTCCATTCTCATGCCCACACCCAACTAACACTTCTGGAAACGAGGGTGTGTGAGACCCGAAGGTGACAGTCTCAGAGGCAAGGACTCCGTTTGTGTAGGACTGATCCCCATAGGAGTAGTAATAGGAGCAAATCACTATTAGAGTTACAAGTTCTAGTCGCCAAGTCTGTGTAACAACGAGGGGATCCACATGGTATTGGCTTAAAAGAAGATGATTTTTTGGGGTCGAAAATTGGTAACCTCTGCTTTGTAACACTGAACACAAGGCTTGCATTGGGTCCAAGTGAGATCACTCCCGGTATCAGCTATCCCAAGCATGGTAATCGGGGGACTACCTAATGATATGTTCATTAAGTATTCCCCCTTGGCAGGGATCACCGGGGACTGGACCATTGCCCGCGAGGCCAACACCTCAAAGTGGCTGGCACGGGTGGTGGAGCGGCGGAGGGCATCATTTAGAAGCTCCCAATGCGTCTTGGTGGAGTTATGGAGAGGGGATAGAATGGAGTCTCTGTGAATGAGGTCTACAGTGAAACCTAGTACTACTGCTATTATGGAAGAAAGACAGATGAACAAGAATGAAACAATGCAAAATTACTGAAGAAAATGCTGCCATGATAAATGTATCAAGAAAGAGTTTTTAAAAAATGGATTCGAGTGCAAATGGAAGATGGTAAAAGGAGATATATATTAAGGAGAGGAAACACAGGCAAAGGTGAAATGAAAAGCCATGCATTGATTGATTTAACAACAGCAATAAACAAAGAATACAAAGAGATGTGGAATGTGAATGAAAAGGGTAGAATTTAAACTGAAAGATCAAGCAAAAGAACAATTATACTGAATCAAGGCAGCAGTAAATGAAAGCATAACAGAAGGTAATAAGACTAATAACGTAACGTAACACTGAACATAAGATATTAATCATATTATATAAGCAAAGTACTCAATTAAACATCAGGCAGTAGATAAATTACATTAATAATGATAATCATCCACATGAAAATTGAAATACAGAATAGTAATGAAAAACTGCAGAATATTTTTCAGTTATTACAGATCTTAGCAGTTGGGTTGGCGACACAAACAGGACCATAAGCTTTCTTAGCTTCTGGGGAACCACGTTTCGGTTCATCAGCTATGGCAACACCAGCAACAGAAGCAATGGCAGCGCTGCAGCAGCAAACATAATGTCTCTCCTTCCATTGTTGCTGCCCTCTTGCTTGGTCTCACAGCTGACCTTCACAGTGTTGGGTTTAACACTGTTGGTGATGACAAAGCCTCCGGTGAGAAGCAGCTGCAGGAGAGAGCGTGGCAGCGCCACCGAGGAAAGATGCTGACATGCTGATTGAAGCCATGAATGCTCTGTTATTGGTGTCTGAAAAATGAAGTGTGTGTTGAGCAGAGGAAGAGGATAGCTTAGCTTAATTTCAACCTGAAACTTTTGGCGACAATTTAGCATCTTATCCCTGTATTATACCTGACCAACAACAGCCTGCCACCTGTCAATGTTGATTTTGTCCTAGCTGGCAATCTGGCATTGGTGCTTGGCATATCACAAGCAATTTAGCTAAAACATTTATGGCCTAGAAATGCCACGTCAAATAAACTAAATACAGTATATACTACACATAGCTAAAATATCTAACGTGCTCAAATATAATTGATTCAAATTACCGACAATATTGGCCATGGATTATCCAGTAATTTTTTCAGCAGTGGCATAGAATTTTACCGAGGCCTGAAAGTTGTTTAATGATCCAACAGCTCGGCCACCAGCCATCAAACATAGCAAAACCAAGGCCAGTCAGATGACTCAACCCATCAACAATCGAATTCATGTTGAGCCACAAAATTCATAGTATAAATCAACAAGAAAGATTTATGAAAAAAAAAAAAAAAAAAAAAAAAAAAAAAAAAAAAAAAGGAGAAAGAGAGAGAAGAAGAAGAAGGCGATTGCATTTGCATTACCATTTTCTTCATATCCAAATACACTGTTAAAATTCTTTGTTTGGTGCCAAAAATAGAGTACATTCTATCTCTAGGGTTTAGGGACATAGATCATATTCCAAAGAATGATGAATATATTGTGTATACTAATTTAATGGTGACTATCATCTATATGAACTCAACCTACGACAAACTAAGCATATTGTAGCTCCAGTTCACTCGATTCATATGGGGGAGGCATGAGATCATCCACATTTGCAAATAAATCTCCACGGCTGGGTAGCACCCTAGCAGCAGGTGAATCAAGGACGTAGTCTGGAATAATAGGCAATGTCTCCTCAAGGACCTGTTTAACTGTCTGCAAAGATTCAATAATGAGTGAGGATACCACAGATGCAGCAAAATGGTTGTCGAAAAAATGTACACTTCTTGTGATGATGGAGAAAGCCATAATAGCTCTACATCTCCCACACCATAGAGAGAGAAACATTTCCTAAAAAGATTTTCCAGTAAGCAACAGATAAGCAAATGAATTTCAATGACAGGCGTACCGTGCAATGGAAAAATGCAGCATCCACATTGCGCTTCCAGACAGCATTTCTAGGCTCAGAATGAAAAAGGTTCAACAAAGGCTGTTTCACACAAATAAACAGGAGAAAAACACAGTTCAGGGGATGAAGGACAATATTATATACTACGAATATATGAAGTATATAAATGGAGACAAAGTGCTAATATCTAAAAGAAATTGAAGCAAAGCCCTATTTATTCCTCGAAGGCAATCAGTCTGATAAGGAAATAAAAAATGCTATGATTTTTGCAATTTGATTAGTTATAACCAAAGTCCAAACTCTTGAAAAAATGTTTTTTGTTAAATAAGATATCAAAAAAATTGAAAAAAGAGTCCAGCTATAGGGTTCCATTAAAAAATGAAAATCAGT